ATAACGGAATAATCTTTCGTTCTGTTCAGGTAGGTAGGACATTGGGTGATACGCAAAGGTTACACTTACTTATATGAAATTCAGTAAACAGATTTATCAGATAAATATTTAGGTCAAGTTCTGTTTTGGGTTCAATCGCGCCATGTTTGAAAGCGTTATGCCCTTTGCACTTTGAAAAATGCCAATGTGGGGGGGGGGGGGGGGGGCCATAAGTGTTTTTTAAAAACAGGGGTTTTTTTCTGAAGATTTACTTTCGGCATTATTAGCAAGGTCCCTACGATCGCTAAAATTGAATATTGCCAAAAATTAATTGCATTGTATTTGTAATCGCTAAAATTTTTTCAATTAACATCTTAAAATCGCCAAAATTGCATTTCACTAAAAATAAAATACTAATTCTAAAGAATAATTTACTCTTACGGTACATGTATAATGCAATATGCATGATTCAAATAGACATTTTTTTCATGGAAACTAAAATTAAAATGTCTGTAAACTCTTTATGACTAATCATACAGTCTACAATGTTTAAAAAAATTATACATTTAACCATCCAGAAATTACCATTCGTTTTTAGCACAAGTATTGTAGATCATTGTCGCAACTTTGCTCTTAGCGGAAACGATTGATTGATTTATATTGTTTAACGCCGAGGCGGCAATATTTCAGCCATATTTCGGCGGACAAGTTTGTTTATTGAACGTTTTTGTGAAAGTTTTTTGGTTTCTCTGGCGGCCCCCAATGAGCCTACTCTTTTTCGAACTCCAGAGAAACGGTCTTTTGCGTGCTAAGGGGGTTGTTATCCCTGACACGGGGCACCATTTTATGTCCCATCCGACGGACTTAAAATTTAAAAATATGTAAACTGTTATAAATATGTTAACTGTTAAAAATAAAAGGATCTAAATATATTTCATAAAAGTGCTCTAATCATTTTATATTTTATTGTAAAAATCAATTTCATGTAAATATTCCAAAATTGCATGTACATTAACATTTGTAAAAAGTTCATATATGGTTTTTGCATTACCAAAAAGTCTATTTCGAATGGGCGTAAAATCAGAACATTCTAATAAAATATGATTAACAGTTATCGGACAATCACAGGATATACATTCCGGTTGAGACTCCCGATTCAGTAAATATGCATGTGTAACTTTAGAGTGACCAATACGTATTCTTGATATAATTACTTCGTCTTGACGTTTCAGACCGAAGTCACATGATTTGTTAACTTTGTTTTCGATAGCATAAAGCTTACTTTCATCACAAAAATTCCAATAAATTTGCTAAAGAGAATTAACGTAAATTTTAACAAGATATTTCAAATCAGTGTAAGGAATTTTGAATAAAGTAATTTCATGTTGAAGTGCAATTTTTGCTGCACTGTCAGCCCTAGTGTTTCCAGGGATGCCGATGTGGCTCGGAATCCAACAAAAATTAACTTTTTTTACCCTTGAGAGTGAGATGTGTATACTGAATTAATATATCTAAAATATAAGGATGATCAAGATTCTTGTTTTTAATAGATTGTAAGCAAGAGAGGGAGTCTGAAAATATAGTAAATATGTTGTCACTGGAAGATTTTATGTATTCAAATGCAAGTTGTATGGCTTTTGCTTCCGCAGTAAAAATTGTTGCTTCATTTGGAAGACGTGTTGAGAATATGCTATCATCAACCACTGCAGCTGACGCAACTGTATCATTATCTTTCGAACCATCTGTATAGATTTCGACTGTAGAACCCATAGAATGTTTCATTTCGGCCAGTTTTTGTTTAAAAATAAGGGAATTTGTTTCCGATTTCTTAAATTCAGATAAAGATATATCAACACTTGGTTTTATTAATTTCCAGGGCGGTATCTCAGAGAAAGTTGTAGGTTTTATAATATCCAAAGGAAGCTCAGAGTCTCTAATATGTTTTTTAGATCGTAGTCCAAGTGGTTTTATACATGTTTTTCTTTTATTATGATACAAGTTTTCATTCTGTGGATGAAAAACACAGTTATAAGCAGGATTATCAACATTTGCTTTTAATTTCAGTATATATTGTAGGGTAAGTTTAATTCTACGTAAGTCGAGGGGTGGTTCATTTGCCTCAACATATAAACTACTTCTCCTAAAGACAGTTTATATGTTGAGGCAAATGAACCACCCCTCGACTTACGTAGAATTAAACTTACCCTATAATATATACTGAAATAAAAAGCAAATGTTGATAATCCTGCTTATAACTGTGTTTTTCATCCACAGAATGAAAACTTGTATCATAATAAAAGAAAAACATGTATAAAACCACTTGGACTACGATCTAAAAAACATATTAGAGACTCTGAGCTTCCTTTGGATAAGTTCGAAAAGCTCCCAAGCACAGTCTAAGGCCTTGATGGTGAATTGCATCAAGAACTTTCACGTAAGAAGTTCTTGCCGAGCCATATACAATACAGCCATAATCTAACTTGGATCTTACTAAAGAACGATATAGTTTTAAAAGTGTATTTTTATCTGCCCCCCATTTTGTTTTTGCAATTACTTTAATAACATCTAAAGCTTTTGTGCATTTTTCTTTAAGCATTTTAATATGTGATACGAAAGAGAGTTTACTATCAAAGATGATACCTAAAAACTTTATTTCTTTAACAACCTTAATTGGATTTCCATCGAGCAGCAGACGTGGTTCGTCATGCGCTTTCCGTTTGGAACAAAAATGAACGCAAGCGGTTTTACTTTTTGAGAATTTAAATCCATTTACGTCAAGCCCAATTTTGAATTTTATTTAGACAACCCTGCAATTTTCGCTCAATATAATTCATATTTTTGGATTTAAAACAAAGAACAAAATCATCAACATATAAACTTCCATGCATATCATTTTCAAGAACTTCTGCTAAATTGTTAATTTTTATACTGAATAGAGTTACTGATAGAATACTACCTTGTGGCACACCCATTTCCTGTTCAAAACTTTCCGAATATGTAGATCCTAAGCGTACTTTAAGATGTCTATCATTCAAGAAATTCTTGATAAAATTCGGTAAATGTCTTTTAAGACCCATAGTGTAGAGATCTTCTAAAATGCAATGTCTCCATGTAGTATCATATGCTTTTTCTAAATCAAAAAACACAGATACAACATGCTCTTTTTTAATAAATGCATCACGAATATAGGTTTCCAGTCTTACCAACTGGTCAATAGTACTGCGGTTTTTCCTAAAACCACATTGAATATTAGTTAAAATACTATTAGTTTCAAGAAACCATATAAGTCGTTCATTGATCATCCTTTCCATGGTTTTACATAAACAGCTTGTTAAAGCAATAGGACGGTAATTATTTGGATCTGTATGATCCTTACCAGGCTTTGGGATGGGAATTATTGTAGCTTGGGTCCAGGAAGGTGGAAAATGACCCTGCTCCCAAATCGTATTGAAAATTTGCAGAAGACATTCTTTACGTTTTAAAGGAAGGTGTTTAATTATTTGATAATGGATTTGATCCGGTCCTACTGCTGTGTCATGAGATTTATCTAAAGATTTTTGAAGTTCATCTAAAGTGAACGGGTGATTATAACATTCATTGTTTTCAGATGTAAAATCTAATATTTTCTTTTCTTGTGATTTTTTATAATTACTAAACTTAGGGCTGATATTTTCGGTGGAGGAATTTTTAGAAATTGTTTTACCTATTTCATTTGATATTTCTTTTTTATGCGTTATAATTTGATTTCGAACATTAAGATGTTGATATTTTTCAGGACCTTCACCTTTAATTTTTCTAATTGCATTCCAGACCTTATTGATAGGAGTGTGAGAATTAAGGCTGGAAACGAATTTTTTCCAAGATTTTCGTTTATTAAAGTTAATGGTTCTGCGAGCTTTTGCTCTAAATATACGAAAATTACTTAAATTTGATGATGTTGGTATTCGATTAAATTGTCTCTCTGCTTTTTTGCGAGCTTTAATAGCGTCATTGCATTCTTCAGTAAACCATGGTTTTTTAGTTTTAGAAGAATTTGTCGAGGTTTTAGGTATACATTTATTTGCAGTTGTTAATAGGATTTCAGTAAATGTTTTAATAGGATCAGGATTGTTCTCAAACTTTTCAGACGAAATATTTTCTAAGCACAAGTTTTCAAATTGTATCCAATCAGCCTTGTTCAACTTCCAGCTTTGAATAGAAGTATTCTCAGAGGATATATCTTGTTTAATGATAATTGGGAAGTGATCACTCCCACATAAATCGTCATGTACTGACCAACTAAAATCCCAAAGTAAAGAAGGGTCTACTAAAGTAATATCTATAGAAGTATATGAACCATTACCCGGATGCAGATAAGTTCTAGAGCCGTCATTAAGTATACAAAGATTATGATGTGATATTACATCTTCAATTATCTTTCCTTTATCTGTTATTTTATCGCTGCCCCATAAAGGATTATGGGCATTAAAGTCACCCACAATCATAAATGGAGCTGGAAGTTGTTGTATTAACTTTGTAAGTTCTAAAGCTTGTAAATGATAGTTTGGAGGAACATAAACAGAACAAAGGGTAATTGTTTTTTCAAGTGAAAGGCGTACAGCTACTGCCTGAAGATTTGTTTTTAAATCTAGTTGGCTATGGATGTATTTATTGTTAATTGCTAAAGAAGAACCACCAGATGCTCTTTCAGTCTGAGCATAGTAGTTATACATGCTGTAATTTTTTATATTAATTTTATCTGTTTCTTTTAAATGTGTTTCTTGTAAACATATAGCTACCGGGTTATGGTCCTGGATAAGTAATGTTAATTCATTAAAATTGACTTTAAAACCTCGACAATTCCATTGTATTAACGAAAGATGGATCATTTTTATTTTTTATGAGTAATTGGGGATATCCTCCCTTTATTTTTATTCGGTGAGACACTTCGGACTCGCGAGGAGGGATGACATGGTGTTATGTCCATCTCCTCGAAAACCCCAAATTTATTTTGGAGAGTGAGGGTCCCTTTGGGCAACCTATCACTCGGCTGTCTTGGGGTGTTTTTTGAGGGAGATCTGTTGGGGTCTCCCTGATGATTTACCTGCAGCTGCTGGCTTCGATGTAGTCAAAGCTACAGATTTTGGTGCAGCCGCAGCTGCAGGGCCTGCACATGCAGGTGAATTAGATTTACCTTTGTCATTAGATGACAAAGGTTCAGTCTGCTGATGAAAGTCTTTTTCAGAGACCTGGGTAGAAGAGTCCTTCAAAGAGGACGATTTTACAACAGTTGCATATGTTAAATTTGGTTTCGGGGTACTATACAAGTTGACCAATTTTTTGGCTTCGGGATAGGGTATTCTTTTTTCAGATTTAACTTTTTGAATTTCTTTCTCCCTTTTCCACATCGGGCATTGTTTAGATGAAGCCATGTGTCCGCCCTTGCAGTTTTTGCATTTGGGGTCATTTTGGCAACCTTTACCATCATGCCCCTCTTCACCACACCTAAAGCACACTTCAGAGCCTTTACAGTTGGATTGTCCATGTCCAACCCGCTGACATTTGAAACAACGCAGCGGATTTGGAACAAACATTTCAATTTTCATTTGGTATAGACCTACTTTAATTTTTGAAGGTAGTGTTGGCATGCCAAAAGTCAAAAGGTATGTATTTGTTGGTTCAATGATGTCATTCCGTTTTTTGGTAAATCGTTTTACAGAGACCACTCCTTGGGATTCCAATTCAGATTGGATTTCCTGTTCTGGAATGTCATCCAGGTCGTGATCCCTGTCAAACAGTATGCCTTTACTTTGATTAAGTCCATTGTGGATCTTACCAATTACAGGAATATCGGCAAGTAATTTCAAACCTAACAATGCAGTTGATTGTTGCTTCTTGGACACTTCAATAAGAAGAGCATCCGATTTCAACTTTTTGACTGACTTTGGGGTACCAATAATTCCTTGGATACCTTTTTTGTATAACTAGAACTGTCCAATAGGGACAAATACCCCCCGCTGGGTTTTTCAGAGAAGGTGCCAATTCAAAATACTTTATGGATCTAAAGGTGCTCACTATTAACTTAAAAAATTTGCAGTGAAATATAATTGCTCATCATGTTTCTTAATGAATGAAACAAAGGTGCAATCAAATGAAACATCAATACTAATACACTGTAATTCCATTGTAACATTATTTTTTAATTTTATTTTTTCATTTCTGCATTAAAAAAATGTATTGCAATTATGTGTTATGACACTCTGTAAACTGATTGTTGAAAAAAAATCATATTATACAAAATTAAATTAATCTTGATAACTTTATATCAAATTCATTTTGAAAATAAAGAGCTGGTCATCCAGTAATGAAGTGCTTTGACAGACAATAAATTACAATTAAGAGAATGAGAGAAGAGAGATCTTTAATTCTTGTGCCCGATTCCCAGGAGATAACTCATGGTTGATAATGAGATGCCTTAATGTTCAACTTCCCACACCAAACTCATTAATTTATCTTTAACTGGATGCATGGCCAGTCATTATTCCCAAGAGACAAATGAAATTACATTATCTTCTGTGCAATGTAAAAACTGTTTCTAACACTTGATGATGTTTCTTTTTTAAAGTTTTTATGAGTAGTTTCAAGCTGTAGTTCACATTTTTGTACAGATATTCTAGATTCTATGTCTCAAACCTTATATATATGAGCCCAAAATGAACAAGTCAATTAAAATTAAAAAAAAAATTTTAAAATGCAGAAAAATGAACCAAAAGAGTTGAAAATTCCAGGTGCACACCTTCATATGGTGAATAATAAGTGTACAAATTTTCAGATTAATCCTTGCAATAGTTTCTGAGAAATGGTCCGGACAAAACCACAAAATAAAAATGAAAAAAACACCTGTAAAATTCAAAATAATAATCGAATCAAGATGAAAATAACAGGTGCACACCTCCATATGGTGAATAATATGTGTACAAATTTTCAGACAAATCCTTCCAATAGTTTCTGAGTAATGGTCCGGACAAAATCTCGTCTACAGACAGACGGACAGACGGACATGGTGATTCCAATTTACCCCACTTCTGTTGATTTTACCGTGAAATCCTGGCTTACGATTGGTTGAAGTCTGTCACGTGAAGACGGTGGATTACTTATACCCGGTCAGTTGTAAATCCATACCCGGTCAGTAGGAATCTATACCCGGTCGATGTATAACGTCACAAACACAAACGTGACGTCATAATAGGCGCAGTATGAGCGCGATGAAGGATTTAGCAGACAAAACCATTTATAAACTACAGATAAACCGCAAATGTTACATCGGTGGGGTAAATTCGTTACATAGTCTTTTAGTGACAGGGTATGGGATGATACCTGGTTAGTAAATTTCATACCTGACTCGGCTCCGCCTCGTCAGGTATGAAATTTACTAACCAGGTATCATCCCATACCCTGTCACTAAAAGACTATGTAACTAATAATACCCCCCCTAAACTTCGTTTGCGGGGAGTATAACAAATGGCGATACCTTTGTGAGAGGCTTTGTATGCTGTTCTGATATTTGTGCTTCAAGTGTGATGAAGCGGGGCCAGTGTTCAACGATAGAACTGAGTTCTTCTTCGTTGATAGAAATATCGAAACCTGCTGGGTAACAACGTTTTTTTGTGAGAGCCATGATAAATGAATAGAGTTTCAGAATCCTTGCTCCCCGCCCACCTCGGAGCGCCAACAAGGGCGATATCTGGTCAAATGGACATCCAGTAAGACAGATACCAAGAGGATACAAAGAAGCTATACTCAGACATAATATGCCCGACTGACCCTAAGCCACCGCTTAATATATAAATATCAACATGGAAACGTCGGCGTATTGGAAATTGCAAAACAGAGGTTAATGGATAATACAGAAGACATTGCAATACATCAATACTAAGGCATGTAAATATTATCAGCTCGGCATGACTAGCCGATTGATCAAGTCGGGCCAAACTTGACCCCCCGTCTAGATGAATATGGGGCCAAAGTGGAGTGTTGGTCAGCCTCAGCCACCAGGATCCCCTTCTCCACCAACACGGGTCGCAACCCACGGCCAACAGGTTGCCCCATTTAGTCGCCTCGTACGACATGCAAGGGGGTGCCAGGGACCTATTCTTATCACCCCGGGTCCCTACGGGGGCTTAGCGGAAACGAAAAATGTTTTTCTGAAACTTGCAATCATGAACACAATGAAGTATTCAGTAGCTGAAATGTGGTGGAGGACATATTGGATGTTATAGTAAAGAGAGTAATGGAAACGTCTTGGGATCACAAAGATGTAATGCTCTTTGAAGTAAATCTTATTCTGTTTCTGCATTCCAGATAAATGTATTTAAAAAAGATTAGACCTTAAATTGGATAATGATAGGAATGGAAATTGAATATACAACTGTTTATCTGTTAATTGCAAGACATTCCTACTAAGTAGCCAGTTAATGTCCATGTAGTTGTCTTTTACTGCGCTTACTTTCGATGATAGATATGGCGTTATTCTTCTTGTTTCCTCCAATTTCTTTAATCGTTTAACTTGGCTTTTCTTAATAAAGCAGCCTTCTTTCGGTCTCATATGTTGTCGTTTGATATTCCACAGGAAATTTACTCTACATATAATTTTTAAACCGGATTCGATCAAACCTAGCGTTTCTATGACGTAATACTACGTAGGTTCTATGTTAAGGTAAGTCTAGTCTCTGAGGGTATTCTCATCACACGCGCTTGGTCATTGAATTACAAGTATTTATGGTAGGATTTTTTATGCTGATACATGTAGTTGCATTGTAATATCTTCTGCTGAATGCCCTGCTTCCATGTAAATCTTTTAGTTTAGCGAAAAAATCGGTGAACCACAAAAAAGATTGCAGAGTGACCTTGGAGTTGATAATAATCAAGCATTCTGAGAGTATTGCATAAGCAGGACATTCTTCAGGATGACATTTTATAATATGCTTAAGTTCTGATCGAGGTAAAACTGTATATAAACCGAGGCCCCGTGTCACAGCAGGTACGGCACGATAAAGTTCCCTCCCTGCTCAAAGGCCGTAAGTGCCGAGCATAGGCCTAAATTTGCAGCCCTTCACCGACAATGGTGACGTCTCCATATCAGTGAAATATTCTGGAGAGGGACGTTAAACAGTATAGCCCTTCACCGACAATGGTGACGTCTCCATATCAGTGAAATATTCTGGAGAGGGACGTTAAACAGTATACAATCAATATATCAATAAAATGTACCATGTTGACATCGGAATTCAGCGCAGCACGAACCCGATCTTAAACCATAATGAAAATTAAATATACCATAATTCTGTCAAAATCAATGAAGCGAAACGAAATTAAAACTTGATCTGTTAGTCATCAAGATACACTCGCATACTAAAATTCAGCTCAACTCGGTTGATATGGATTTTTTTAAACGTAGCACATGCTATTGAACAGCAAAAGGGCATGCACTTATCTATATAGAGTTAATATTAAATACGAATACCTAAAAGTTAAAAAATCTGAAAGATATACTGGAAAAAGCCCCAAGACACTTCACAAATCCATCTTGCAAATCAAAGCACCTTTTCTTTTGGGTTATCAGAACAGGCATATGATACCGAGCATAAACCAGTATCAATGGCTTGATTTATGCCATTATTTATTGGGACTGAAAGATTTGTTTGTTGAACCGAAGGCCCATATGTCTTGGTCTTTGAAAAATTGCTTTGGTCTACTTGTGGACTGTTGGAGTCAAGAATTGGATTGGGAAGGTTGATTGTACTGCAGTTGATTAAGATTTTGCCAAACATTTTGTGATGGGGAATTGTTTATGTTTATCAGTGCAGAGTGCGTTTGTTGACTGTGCATGTGATTTGACATGTTCAATAACCATAACTCAGCATCTTCTGACCCCTAGCTGTTTTTTGACATTCTCAGCCATAACTGTTTATCGTATTCTAACCAACCACCTGTAGAATAACTACTTTTCCCTTATCTTTTTGTAGATGCCTTGTCAAATAGACACTAACAAATATCAAGAACCACATTTTTTTATACTTCGCTTTGGCTTCAATAACTATGTAATCATCAACAATGAAGAATTTTTGTCCCTTTTGAGGGTCACTTTCTGACAGCATAACTTTGACAATTCTGTATTTTTTTTCTTTTCTTTGCTGTGGAATATGTGATGCCAAATCATCAGCAACACTAATTAGAGTGTTGTGGATGGCTGCATGAAATCAGGGTTAACGCTATTACCTGTTTGTCTTACAGTGGATGTTGAAGTGACTGAAGAAGTTGCAGACTGGGAAGAGCCAAGGGATATGCATGTTGCCTGATATGTGATGGGTGCTGTCTGAGATGTGCTGGGTAGTACGTCTTGTACAATAGCCGTTGTGCAGGTGGTTAATGTGGTAGCTTTTGATGTCGATACGGTAATTGTGTAATTTCTTGCGGTTCTCGCATAGGATGATGGATGAGTTCTCGCATAGGATGATGTGGATGGACGCTTCGTCCTGGATCTGTTTGCCCTTAGTATTTTCTTGCTTACAATTAAAAAAGAATCTATAAAGATGTTTGATTTTTATAGTTTTTTTTCTTATTTACCCTATTGTTTTTCAAATATACATAAGACAAAACTGCTAATGCTCCACTTACTATTCCTTTGTTTATTTTTAAATTTGAACGCAGCAAAATCTTATTAGTATATTATTTTAATATTTTATTATAATACCGAAAATAAAACATGATCTGTTGCAAACTTGTTGAACAGTTGAGTTGAGTACAGTTTATGAAATATTGGTACCCCCAATTGTGAGATTCGCACTTCAATATCTGGTATGACCTCCATTTGCTCGGATAACAGCTTCGCATATTTGTCTAAAGGAATTGATATAATTATGAAAAACAAGACGCTCATGGGCCACACCGCTCACCTAAGAAGCTTTGACCATTCCATTTTTTACCATATTTCCCCCTTATAATACATATTGTGACCCCACCCTACCCAACTGATCATAATTTCAACAAATTGAAATCTACAATACCAAAGGATGCTTTGATTCAACATTCTTAAACTTTGATTCCCCTTTGTGGTCCCGCCCTATCCCCGAGGGTCATGATTTTAACAATTTAGAATCTACACTACCCCAGTATGCTTCCATGCAAGTTTCAGCTTTTCTGGCCCAGTGGTTCTTGAGAAGAATATTTTTTTATTGACCCCACCCTATTTTTTCTTTCTTGATTATCTGCCCTTGTGAGAAAATTGGCCCTTAATTTTAACAATTTAAATTCCCTTTCACTCAAGGATGGTTTGTACCAAGTTTGGTCAAAATTGGCCCAGTGTTTCACTCAAGGATGGTTTGTACCAAGTTTGGTCAAAATTGGCCCAGTGTTTCTTCATCAGAAGTCGAAATTGAGAAAAGTTTACAGATGGACAGACAAATAGACGGACGACGGACAAAATGTGATCACAGCCCACTTCGGCTCAAGTGAGCTTAAAATCTACGTGGCACATTTTTCACTCGTTCAAAATATTCCTTTGTAGTTGTGCAAGGTTTCGTTGAGCAGGAAGTCGTCGAATTCGCCTATCCACCTAGTCCCAGACATTTTCAATTAGATTAAGATCTTGACTACACGAAGGTAATTCTAAAACCCTGATGTTGTTTCTCTGCAGCATTTCTCTTGTTGCACATGTGGTATTACACGAGGGCAGATGATATCTTGATATCACTGAGCATTCAAATCTTGATTCACGATTATGGCCTGAGTCATTGTGATAAAGAAATCCCCGGCAAATCATCACAGAGCCTCCTCCAAACTGTCCCTTTTCTTTAACACAAGGTGCACTGTACCTTTCGCCTCTCCTATGATAAGCTCTCAATCTTCAAACTGAACGCCGTAAATTGAACCTTGTCTCATCGGTAAACTATAAAACAAGACGTTTGATCAATCAGCATGAGTTATCTGAAGGGGCCCACTCAAGGGGAATCCGTCTATGTCTTTAATTCATTACATGTACAACACTAGCAAATGAACGTCTTACACGTGGAAGAGTGTGGTTGCTAAAAGGAGCAAAATGACGACACGCAAAAAAAATATTAATCTGACTGACTAAATTGGCGAATAATTGTCTTAAAATTGGAAGCAAATAGCGACCTTAATCGATGTTCATAGTTAACCTTATTTGGGGCGTTGGATGGTAATTTCAAGGTAAAGATGACTTTTGTTGAGACCAAATTCAATTTGAATGGAAAAAGAAGAGCTAAATGCGCATGCCAAAAGGATAATGGTAAAAGAATGTAAATTTGCGCAAGGGTTATCTTTCCAGGGCGTCGCCCGCGTGGCGCAGTGGTTAGAGCGTCTGCTCTAGAGTCGCAAAGTAAAGAGTCAATCCTTACGTCACGAGTTCGAATCCCACTGTGGGACGTGGGGACCGGTCCTTCGGGTGAGACCGTTAAAACCGAAGTCCCGTGTTGCAGAAAGTGCTGGCACGAAAAAGATCCCTCCCTGCTCAATGGCCCTGAGTGCCCAGTATAGGACAAAATTTGCAGCTCTCCACCGGCAAGTGGTGGCGTCTCCATATGAGTGAAAAATTCGCGAGAAGGACGATAAACAACATACAATCAATAATCTTTCCAGGGCTACCTTAAATGATCTTGAGTTAAGACTGATTAAAAGTCAACAAATGCTTAAAATAACTGATACTGAGTTAGTAAACAAATGCTCAAAATCAAACTATATTGCCACCTTCCATCAAATTTAATTCTAAGGTGACTGTTAAATCAAAATTTGGACCGAGCAATAAACCAGAAGTCTCTGTCGAGACTGAAGCTCTACTGGTTTGTACTTAAAGCAAAGGAAGAGAAAAGTTCTTAAGCAGTTGGGAATTGAAACTTTACCAGAACAATTAAAAAAAAGAATAATGATCCTTGATTCAGTTTCTTTATGTTCTTAGTATAGTCTACTTGCAGGCCACATTATATTATATTCAGACTTAAACTGTATTTGGAGTAGCATTTTGAGAGTATTTAACAGAAATTTCTATTTTTGTAATCAAAGCAATAATGTTCATCGAGGTCAAAAACTGA